AATAAACTATAAAAAGTAAAAACTACTTACAAATGTGAATGTAAGCCCAACAAATTATCACTTCTGAATTATAATGAATATCAATTAGTTTCCCCTGCACAATGTTGAAAATAATAATAAAAAAATTAAGTATTATTTCAAGGGCTCATTAATTAATAAAAAAAAGTTTTTTAAAAAAAACCCACAAATCAGATAGAATTTATACTCCTGGATGTTTTTGCATTCCCAAAAGTTTCCACTACTTCACTGTAATTTAATCCCGACTTCTATCAAATACTCCAAAACTAATTTTGCTGTTACACCTTTCTAGCTCCAGTTTTCCCGCTACATCAAACAAAAACAATCCATTTTTGAAAAAAAAATATAATTGTAAAAAGGAACAAGTTTTTTGACTTCATTGAAGTTAATACAAACCTGACAATAAATTGGTTGGTTTACACCGTCTGCAAGTAAAAGCTACAATGAAGCTCGTAAGTATGAAAATAAACCATCAATATATGAAGTAGTAAATAAAAAGGCTAGAGAAGCACCAAATGAGAGAGAGAGAGAGAGAGAGAGAGAGAGAGAGAGAGAGAGAGAGAGAGAGAGAGAGAGAGAGAGAGAGAGAGAGAGAGAACAACTACCAAAACTGACAAGGAAAAAGACAGATTCTAAACCATGGTCAATGTATGATGTATACCTCTAAAAGATATTGTTCTTTTTTTTTTTACTTAATGGACTTAATGAAGTGATGTATATTGGTAATTCTTTTTAACTTAATTCGGAAAAAATGACTTCTTAAAGAAAGTTAGGGAAAAGAAGGTTTTCACCATTAAGTCCAAAGCCTTTTACACATTTATCTCATTTGATTTTCTACTTGGTCATCGCTTAGCGTTTCAGCGGACCTTTACTATTGAGATGCGACTTTGTTTCGTTTTCTTGACTTCCCTATCCATGATTTCGACAAAAAAAATTATAATTTAATCTTAGATATATAAGAGTTTAAATATATAAGAGTTGAGGTTAAAATTTATTATGCATTGACAAAAAAATACATATATTTTGGCTTATTAACAAAAAAATTACCCTTGATATTTTTTATTATAATTTAACCATCAAAACTTATTATTATTAGCGGTTACTTGAAAATAACCGACTCTAATCGTTTAATTGCAAGTAATAACCAATTTTAATGGTTAAAATACAAAATAAAATCAGCGATAACTTTATTATTAATATAACCAAATTATAGTACTATAACATATCCGACTTGCACACTCAAAGACCGCTTGCACACTCAAAGACCAAGCACCTAACTCTCACTTTGTCGTCCATCCACTTCTTTGTGTTTCAAGGCTTATTCGGTATTTCGGCATATACCCGCGAAACGTCGATTTGTTCTAAGATCCGACTCGCACACTCAAAAGTCAAAGATTCGCCATCAGTGGCAAAGAAGAGACTATGCAAGCTTCTTTCCTCTCATCTGATCATGGAATTCCTTTCTGCAAACCCGAAGGGGTTCTTTGCTCACAGAGACTCCCTTTCAAACCCGATTCACCATGGAATCTCAAGTACAACCATACTCTCACCTCCTGCATTCGGCTCTCTGCAACACTCGATTCACCTTGCAAAACAAATCTAATCTCCCTGCCGACCACTCTAACATCGCACAGCCGAAGCAGTACTGGACGTTTTCTACCTCCAATTCTGTGCAGCAATTCGTCGAACAGTTTGAGTGCAAACGACGATATTGTTCATAGCAGTGGTAGGAGTTTTAGGGGTTGGGTGGAGGTGGTAGGAGAGACAATATCCACTTTGTTTCCGATATGGGTGGCATTAGGTTGCTTTCTGGGTCTTGTGAGGCCGAATTCATACAATTGGGTCCAACCCAAATGGACCATGATGGGTATTACTTTCACTATGCTTGGGATGGGGATGACACTCACATTTGATGATCTTAAAGGGGCTTTAGCCATGCCTAAAGAGCTGTTCACGGGTTTCTTTCTCCAGTACTCGGTTAGTTCTTTAATTGCAGTGTACATGGTTCAAGATTCTGAAACTGAATTTGAAATGGTGTTTTTGTTGCAGGTGATGCCTCTATCAGCATTTTTCATCAGTAAACTTTTAAACTTGCCCTCATATTATGCTGCAGGTTTGATATTGGTTGGCTGCTGCCCTGGGGGTAACTAACTAACTACACTCTTCTAGCTCTCTTTCTTTTTCACTTATACTTTAACAGATGCACATTCTCCTACATACACTAATCTTGATTCAAATAACCAAAATTTCCATGTTTAATTCTAGGAACTGCAAGTAACATTGTGACCTACATTGCAAGGTATGTAACTTTATATACAAGTAGGTAGTATAGCTGAATCCCCATATTACTTAAATGACACTGACTTATGTTTTGGTGTTTTTTCAGGGGAAATGTTGCTCTATCTGTATTAATGACAGCTGCAAGCACTGTATCTGCTGTGGTAGGTACATAACCCTTGCTGTTTTAGTAGATATTTACTTATATATATATATATATATATATATATATATATATATATATATATATCAATGTACTTTCATTTATTTGTTTTGCATAACATCCTACTTTGAAAAATCAACCCAATTTTTTAATGAGATTTTGTATTGTCAGGTTATGACTCCATTCCTGACAGCCCATTTAGCTGGACAATATGTTGCAGTAGATGCAATTGGACTCCTTAACTCCACCCTCCAGGTCAGACTTGTTTTAAATCAAGAAACTGTTTTAAATATTCACCAAATACATAAAATTCAGTAAAGAATTAATTGTTGTAAAGGTTGTGTTGCTTCCTGTATTGGTGGGTGCGTTTATGAACCAATACTTTAAAGGGGTAGTGAAATTAGTGGCTCCATTGATGCCACCAATAGCTGTAGCAACTGTAGCTGTACTTTGTGGGAATGCAATTGCTCAAAGCTCTTCTGCAATCCTTATGTCTGGTCAACAAGTGGTCCTTGCTGCTGTTCTTCTTCATATCTCTGGATTCTTTTTTGGTTATATTCTTTCAAGATCTCTTGGAGTTGATGGTTCTTCTTCAAGAACAATATCCATTGAGGTTGGCATGCAGGTAAGCTATAAGTTATGTTCTTTTAAAAAAAAAGTCAAAATGGAATGTTCTTTTAGCTTCAAGATTGATAAAAACTGAATCTTTTTTGTGTTGTTTTAGAATTCGGTGCTTGGTGTGGTTCTTGCTACACAACATTTTGGGAATCCTTTGACTGCAGTGCCATGTGCTGTTTCTAGTGTTTGTCATTCGATCCTTGGGAGTGCATTAGCAGGAATATGGAGAAGGATTCCACCTGAAACTCAGGAAGTGAAAAGTGAACCCTAATTCAGGATTTTGTTGTGTTTTTTTTTTAAAGCTTGTTGGTTATGTATTTTGTGGGAGAAGATTACTAGTATTTTGTTTGATCTGGCATTTAGTTTTAAAAGGAAAGATTGGCTTATGTTTTCTTATTGATGGGGTTTGATGTTTTTAGGTTTGTAGAGTTGCTTTTAGTGAGGTTGATGTATCGAGATTAATATTTAATAGTATGTGAATTTTGTATTTCCTGTAGTTTTCATCTTTAAAAAAATATATATGTGAACAATAATAATATCATACTTTTTGTAAAAAAGGAATTGAATTTGTATGTTTGACGTTGTTCATGGCATGCCATTGGAAATGATTTATGCACCTTTTTATATGAATAATGAATTAAACAGGTGTGTTTCTCGTTGAGTTTGTCTCAAGTTATAAATGATTTTGGAAAATAGATGGATTGTGAGACTCGTTTGTTTGATAAAAAGTGGTTGAGAACAAAAGTGCAATGAAGGAAGGGATGTATATGAACTATGAAAGGAAGATGATTTGCAAGTTTAATTGTATTTCTATCTTAGTCGCACATTGGTGCGCGACCCAAGTAGAAAGGAGAGTGCCCATTATAAATTGATAGGCTTCCCAAGAGCAAATTTATTGGCCTTTGCCTTTGTTTCGTGCTAAATTTTCTCGCAAAATATTAGGACTACGAAATTCTTCAAAGAATTTTGGGTGATTATTTTTTGGTATTGATAAAATTGACCATGAAAGTGTCTGTTTTGTCACCATTTGGTCATTGAATATTAAATTGTGCTAATTTAAACACTAAAGTCCCAAATTTGTTACCATTTAGCCATCGGCCCCGTTTGATACGCATCTTTCCAGGTCCAAACAGATCTTTCTGGCTGAATGGACCGGAAAGACTGTTTGATTTGCACAAAAGAAGGGGTCTTTCCCGGTAAGATATGTCTTTCCCAGAAAGCCCCAAAATCATATCTTTCTGGCTGAATGGGCTGGAAAGACAATTATACACCAAACCCCGCCTCTTTCTTTCTTTATTGGATTATTAATTTTTTTAAATAACTTTTTTTAAATTTATTTTTTATTGAATTATTACTTTTTTTCATCATTCAGCACAGTCAATCAGATGTACAATTAAACAACATGGTTTCTTTCCCAGTCAGAAAACTTTCCCAGACAGCACTTTCCCAGACAGAAACTATCAAACGGGACCTTAGTTTTTCCAACTTATCATTGCAACTTGCCACGTCGCACTAATAGGGCGCCTAGGTGTTATAAATTAAATGAAGCGTCGATAACTCTTTGTGCTTTGGTTCAAAATCCTAATCATTTGCTCTCTTTTTCTCCTATTGTATTCAAAATTCTAGACTGTAGTTGCCGATTTTTTACATTCTTTCAAATGCTTCCAAATTAAAGAGCAAAATAGTTACTTAAGAAGAAAAAGCGTTTGCCCATTGGTATAATGAATCTTATTAAGCATTCCATTAAAACCAACGAAAGATGAATAAACCTAGTTGATATAAAATAAATAGTCATGACACTAAAATAGACATTTTCTTAACCAAGGGACTAAAACTGTTATTAGGTAAAACTTCATGGACTATTTTTTGTAGTTAACTGTAATATAAAAATTGACTTGAGCTTTGACGTCCATATACTTTAGGTGCTAAATTTTCTACCCATTTTCAAGAACCACCGGACACCCTAACCAACCGTTAAACAGCAGCAGTCAAGAATCAAACAACCCCTCAAGACTCTTCTTCACTCGTATTCTTGTTCTAAGAAACGACGGAAGAACAGCGAAATTCTGGCTCTTTCTCAGTTTCTTTCGTAGAAGAATCAGCGAAAATGAGCAGTAATGTGGTTGAAGATGGTGGTTACTCTTCGCTAAAAGACTTGAAATTGGAAATCATCACAAACGTGAGCGATCTCGATGGCACTTTTTCTCTTTGCTTTTGGCTGTATCTACCTGCTGATTCATCCCCTTTTCCTTCTACCCTTCTTCGCCAGGTCTGTTTAGTTTTACTTCGATTAAATCCGATTTGTGTTTCCTACAAAAAAACACCATTTTCGTCGCGGATTTTCATATTTTTATTTCGTGGTTTTGAATGTCGAGATGATAAATGTTCCTTTTCTAATGTGATTCTATTAACAAAACCCTTCTGTTCATAAAGATTTTGTGTTTTGTTTGTTGTAACCGCTGGTACATGGGTTTTGTTCGTTTAAGAATGAGCACTGATTCTTCAAGAACAAAACACTTCCGCAACTCTATATTTACTGGGATCATTTGATTCTTACAACAATTGTGTATTAACAGGTGTCTTTTTTCGATTTTGCAGCATCATTCTGATACAACTAGCTCTACCCCGTTTCTTTCATTGAATGCAAATAAAGAAATCGAGCTTTACCCAATTCTTTCTGTACCAAAAGACACATCAATTCCTGAAGATGTAGCTATGGAAACAGAAATTCCCACTGCAAGAACCAAGATTGATGTCCCTCTAAACAAATGGATTCACATTGGATGTGAGGTATACTTTAAGCACATTTTGAAAATTCTTATTAAATTGTGATATGCTTGTGCTCATATCTTTAATGATTTGAGCTCTATGATTCTTTGGATTAAACAGGTTTCTACTGATACTATACGACTTTACATTAATGGTGAGATTGTTGGTGAGAATCATGTAGCTTACACTTCTGATAGCTCAAAGAAAGTTTCTTTACTTGGTGCTAACAAAGATGACTCAGTTGAGGGTTATCTCTATGGTGTGGAAATGTTTCCTATTACATCTTCTATTAAAGATCACTTTGTTAAGGTGCATCCTTGATTATTTTTTTCTTACTAATATTATCAATAATCTTATAGTCCCTTTGTTTTCATACTCATCATTTTTTTTCTTTATGTCCAGGACCCTCCTATGCAAATGTGTGTTGATAGTTCAAGTGCCATTGATATTGAAGAAGACAATGATGGTGTGTGGACTGTTGTTGGTGGCAAGGTAAGGTTTAATAGATTTATCTTCACTAATGCTTCTTAATATCCCATATTTCATTTCATATTTGTATTAAATAGTTGTGCGTTTGACCATATTTTGGTATTTAATTGTCACATTGTTACATATGAAATACAGGCTTCTTGCCGTAGGAATTTCTCCTTGGATGTTGTTTTAATGGATGCTTTTGGGCACTTGGTCAACAAAGAAATGGAGGTTTGTAAGGCAAATTGACACTTAGTTTGTGTTTGTTAGTTGTTACACAAGTCAAGGCTGTTATGTTATGTTCTATCATGTCATGTGTAGAAATGAGGTCTTAAATTTTCTAATATCAATTATATTATAATAAGGTCAAGCATATTATTTTTTTTATTGACAGGTTGTTGCTACACTTACATATGCGGACAATTATGCACATGTCGAAAAACCAGATGATGCAGAAGCTCCACTGCTGACAAGTTATGATGGAATCGAGTTTGCTTCATGGGACAGACCAAGTACACTAATTAATGGACATGCTTCATTTAAGCTCAAGATATCTCAGGTAACATTTAAAAACATATAAGCTATGAAAACTTTATATATGTATATATATTTCTGTTTATTTTACATGTTCTTTATCTTCTCTTGTCTCAGCTTTCATCAAAGTGTGATAACAAGTTGTTTTGTATTAAATTCAATATTCCGAAGATGGGAAGATATCCATTTTTTCAAGTGTTTTCGCGTTCTATTCGGTGTATTTCACGTAATCGTACTACACGTCCATCTACTTTGATATGGAAAAGGTCAACCACTCTTATGCATTCGGTCAATGGAACCTTTGGGCCAGATGGAGGATCCATTGAGCCCGTGAACAATGTGGTTCATGAGGCAAAACCAAGCCCACCATCAAAACGGATCAAGTTAGAACTTGCAAACCCCTTTGTGCATTTAAAGCCTGATGATTCATTCAAGCAAGGATATGAAGAACACCATGAGGTATAAACTCTTCAATCCTATTACTTATTAATTCATTAAAAGATTTGATTCTAATTCTATTAGCCGTGTTTGGTTTGTGGATTCCGGGGGAGTTTGATGGAATTGGAATTTGTGAATCGTGATTCCATTCCATGACTTGTTTAGTTGCCAAATGAATGGAATTTAATTCTGTCACATTCCTTCTAATTGTTCATGGTTGATGAATTTCACCATTCCTAGAATCTAATTCCATGGTTTATGGATTTAACCATTCCGAGGGTGGGTGGAAGGAATTTTGATTTTATTTTTTCCTTTTTCATTAAAAGACTAAAAAACCTCCATTCTTATCTATTGAAATGAATGGAAACAAAAAAAATAGTAATAAATTTTTTTAAAAACTATTCATTATTTATTAGGTCAAAATGCAAGAAGTAGCAATGTAGTTTCTAATTTTTCGTATCATACCAGTGTACTCTCTTTTTTCTTTATTACAACATTGTACTTTTAAATGATTCTTTATTGGAGTATCGTACTTTAAATTTTTTACCAATTATAGCAATGAGATTTGAATTGTGGTGACATGGCACAAGTTAACATGTTTTTATGCAATGTCATTGTCCATGTAGGATGTACATGTGTAATATGTTGCTGACATGGCAAAAAAAGTTCTTTCTTAAAAAGAACTGTCCATATCAGATGGGATTTAGATCACTATTGATGAAATGGCACAAGTTGATATGCTTTCATGCAATGTCGATGCCAATATGCTACAAAAGTTATATGATAACGCATAAAAACATATTAACCTGTGCCATGTCATCAATAGCAATCTAAATTCTAAATCTCAGCTGACATGGACGTTTTTTTTTTTTTTTTAAGTTCAATTTTTCCCACATCAGTAGTATATTACATGTGTCCATCCTATGTGGACAATGAAATTGCATAAAACATGTTAACTTGTTGCATCACGTCATCATAACCCAAATCTCATTGTTATAATGTGTAAAAAATTTAAAATACAAGTCTCTAATAAGGAATAATTTGAAAGTACAATGTTGTAATAAGGAAAAAACAAAGTACAATGCTATAATAAGGAAAAATCAGAAAGTACATTCCGTTTTCCTTTTTATTTAACTATTGAAGATCACATTCCCTTTCCTGCCATCCAAACACATGACAGATTCCAATTCCTTTGACAGATTCATTCCTTCCAAAAACATTCTATGAACCACCTCCTTACTTTTTAAGACATGTTGTAGATCTTGACTTTTTGTTTTGCAACAGGGTGATAGATCAAATGGTAGGATTTTGGAAGGTAGGGAAGAAATATACAATTCATCATCTGACACAGATAGTAATAGTAATAGTAATAGTAATAGTAATAGTAATAGTAGTGAAGCAACAAACTCATGTAAAAGCAATGGGAGTCCGGTTTCAGACCTAACTGTATTCAAATACTGCCTTGGAACCCTAATTGAAAAATCTCTTCTTCTAAAAGACCTTGCAACTTCTGCTTCCCAACAAGATGTTATGGACTTTGCCATGCGGGTTTCACAGTTTTCTGGTTGCCTTCATCATCGGTAATTTGCTTGCATAAAAGTAAAACCAACATTACTTTCCCTTTTTATCTAATTGAATTTGGATTCCAGGAACCAAATAAGAAGTTCAAAGAAGATGATAGAGGAAGGAACAAAGGTCTGGAATTCTGTATTGCAGAATCACCACCATGTGTTGTGGGATAATATGATTCCGGTTTTAAGAGACCAGTTTATCAAGATTTCTTCATGTCGGAATAGATTCTTGGTGCATCAGGTCCGTGTGTCTTACAACTCTCTAGTCTCTCCCCTTGAAAGGATTCCGATTCCGATTCTGATTCCGATTCCGTCCTCGGAATCTTTGAAATTTACTTTTTTTCTTTTTGTAGGATTTTGAGGTGTTGAGAAGAATTGGTGGTTGCCAGGACTCAGTGACTCAAGAAAACTTTGAGAAGTTGTGGTGTTGGCTATATCCTGTGGCTTTTGCTTTATCACAAAACGGGCTTAATGAAATGTGGGATTCCAGATGGATTGAAGGACTTGTTACAAAAGAAGAAGCGGAATCTTCACTCCAGGGTCCCACTGGGGGGCTTGTGGACCCCGGCACATTCGTGCTACGGTTTCCTACATCTAGAAGCTGGCCCCACCCTGATGCTGGGAATCTTATTGTCACTTATGTTGGGGCTGATTTTGCCATACACCATAGGCTCCTCTCTCTTGACTTCTTTCACAGGTGTGTAAACTATATATGTGAAAAGTATAGGGTTAAATCATAAATGCAAGAAATAGCAACGTAGTTTTGTTGATTTGTTTGTTATAGCATCCTACTTTTGTTTCTAACTATTGTATCATTGTACTTTGAAAAGTCTACACAGTTGTAGCAATGGCATACAAATACAAAGCAGTTTTCACAGCTATATTTTTCAAAGTATAATGTGCTCATAAGAAAAATGTTGAAAGTATGATACTATGTGTTGGTAGATTATTCAAATTACAATAATTAAAAGCACAATGTTATAACAAAAAGAAATGAAAATAGGATGTTGTAATACATAGATAAATACAAGTATGTTGCTATTTCTTATATATGTTTCTATCTTTTTGGTTTTTTGAATTTGTAGTTCTTGTGGCAATGAAACGTTGGGGAAATCACTGAAAGATATGCTGCTTGAAGAGCGTGAGTTATCTCGACTAGGAAGGCAAGATGATGATGACATTTTTTTTCGTGTGGATTTGGGTTTTATATATGAACTAATTGTGGGAATTTTTGAAATTGCAGGATTACAACAAGAAGTGTGCGTCTTGTTTGAGATGTATGTAACTATGTATTTAAGGCAATGATTTCGTGCCTAGGTCTTGTTTTTAATGTTGATGTGTTTCTTAATGAAGATCATTCTTGGCTTGTTTTATTAAATTTATTTCTCTTAAATTATATTTGAATATCAAACTTAAGATGATAGTAGCCAATGGAGAGAGTGAAATAGCTGGTTTACAACAAAAATACTTTAGCAGGGATGAAATTTGTAACTTTCAACATACCATAGGGACTAAAACTGTAGTTTACTTTACCCCATACTTTCTTTAAAAAAATGCTAGGATAATTAAGTGGTACAAAATTAAAGTTGGTTGGTACTTATTGAAATTGTTGTTATGTCATTGTCACAAAGTAGTTAGTCAAATAGGTAAACATGTTACAATTTACCTGATTGCATGAACAACGATATAACTTTAGTGGTTCAACTTCTAAAAAGATGAGGTGCCCAAAAGGAACACATCTATATATTTCATGACTTTATCCACATGATAAATGAAAAACATGAGAAAAATTGTTATGTTAGATGGTTAAAATGTGTATTCTCTTTACAGATAAACCAAAATTTAATAAGATAAAGGCTATTGTACGTGATCTAATAAATATTGATACATTTGTGATTTAACCATCTAGAAGTAATACTTATTTTGGGAATATTAACATTGATTGTATTTGTATTAACTGACCAACGTGTTGTATCAAACACCACCCACATATAAAACAAATTTAGGTACAATATTGTTGAGCTTTTATAAAAATAAAAAATAAAAAAAAAGTTTTTAATTGTTTTCTTTTTCACGGTTTAACCGAAGACCTATGGCTACATGTAATGAAAATAATAATTTTAAAAACAATACATATATGTTTATAACGTTCATATGATTTCAAATCCTATTGACGGATTAATTTATAAAGTATATATAAATTGAAATTATATTTCTTCTAGATATTAATTTTTAATTATAAAAGAAAAATGGAGAATTAGAAAAATAAGGCATTTCTCCAAGATCACACAACTGATGAACGTTTCTGAATTGGCCACCAACTGCAATGCCACACACACAAATTGAAGTCGTAGATAAGGTGCCCTTTTCTCCCTTCTCCTCCCAATACCTCTTCATTCATACGACCCTTTGGTCAAATCAAGAAACCGATATATATACACCACTACCTTAATCGCTGTTAATAACCCTCTGCTGTTTTGTACCTTCCAATTAAAGCAAAAGCAAATTTAAAAACCAACTTCGTTGTTTAGCATATGTGGACTTTTCGGATCCACTGAAAATCTACTATATCTATTCAAGATTACAGTTCTGTAAGCCTCTAACCTTTCTCTTGGGTCCAAGTTCCAACTTGCGTCTTCCTTTCTCTCTCATTTCGCATTGTTCTTCGATATTATGGCTTTTTGCTTGGCGGGTGTTTGCTTATACTCGAATTAGCATAATATCCTAGTTGGGTTTTCGATTTCATTGAAGAAAAATATAATCTTGGGGATATTTAGGAAGATGATGCCGGCGACATGCCATAAACTTGAGTTTGGTCGAACTGCGTTTGTTGATTCCGTTCCTTGTGGGTGTTCTTTCAGTTCTTCATTCGACCGGTTTCCTTCAAGAAATTACGCACGAGCGGTGATTAGGACTGTGAATAGGGGCTACTGTGGCGGTGGCCGGAAATTGATATGTTGCCGCCGTGATAATAACATCGCAAAGTGTCGAGTGTTTTCAACTGAAGCTCCTGGGACTTTACTAAATGGTATCAATTCATTACAATTTGATTCATTTTGGTGATCTAAGTTCTAACATAACATAATGTTTATCAATAGGTGATGTACCAGGTCCTCCACCAGTTTTAAATGGGAAGAAAGAATCCACAACCGATTTGTTTGAAGCTGTTTCTGATGACCTTCTAACATTGAACAAGAATCTACAATCTGTAAGTATTTCTTAGTCTTTTACAAGATTTGTGTTATCAATATTCTACACACTTTCGAGTCAAGTTTCCTTAGCTTAATGTACTTCAAGATTGAAGATTGTGATCATGAATTTGAATTAGTGGTCCATTACAATGAGTTTCTTTTTTACTTTTATAAAGTGGTTAATTTTGATGATTCTTGATATTTTTTGTGTGGTAGATTGTTGGTGCAGAAAACCCGGTTTTAATGTCTGCAGCTGAGCAGATTTTTAGTGCGGGTGGAAAGAGAATGAGACCAGCCTTGGTTTTCTTAGTGTCAAGAGCCACATTAGCACTTGCAGGTTTAGAGTGAGTATTTTTATTTTATTTTAAAATCTTTTTCTTTTGATTCCTGAATGGTTTTATATAATGTAACGAGTTTGTTTTTGTGAATCAGTGAACTCACGAGAGAACATAGGCGTTTGGCTGAGATCATTGAAATGATTCATACTGCAAGCTTGATACATGATGATGTGTTGGATGAAAGCGACATGAGAAGAGGTACAAACTTGTACTCTTTCTTTTTTTACTTAATGGACTTAATCCAAACAGATATATACATATTTTTGTTTCTTACTTGACTTGATACAAACCGAAGGGTCTTAATATGTTAAGTGGAACATCGATGCTCAAACTATTAGTAATATGATGATTAAATTTTGTGTTGATTTTGAGTTACTAATCATATGCTTTGATTAAATATAATCACATTTGTTATATAAAATAAATAGTGATTTCTTTAATTTCAACTCTATAACAATTCTTAAATAAACAATAATTTGTTATTCAACGTCATTTCTATATAGAAGGGTAAAATGGTCATTTACTTAGATTCAGACAGTTTATTCGTCCAGATAAGAGTAGATGGTGTGTCTCTTTTCCTTAATGCAGAAATAACGACTTAATAAAGAAAGTCAGGGAAATGCCCTCATTCATCATTCCCTTGTATTTCCTCATTTTTTTTTTTTTTTTTTATTTATCATTTTTCATTCTGTATGTAGGTAAAGAAACCGTTCATCAGATATATGGTACACGAGTGGCAGTCCTAGCTGGCGATTTCATGTTTGCCCAGTCATCATGGTACCTTGCTAATCTTGAAAATCTCGAGGTCATAAAACTTATTAGCCAGGTATATAATCTAATTTCAATTTCTACACTTGAAAACATCAAGAAACAAAAAGGGAAGAAGCTAAAATCTTGAGAACTATTATAAAACAGGTTATTAAAGATTTTGCAAGTGGTGAAATAAAACAGGCATCAAGTTTATTCGATTGTGATGTTAAACTGGATGAATATTTAATCAAAAGCTACTATAAAACCGCATCATTAATCGCTGCTAGCACAAAAGGAGCAGCCATTTTTAGTGGTGTAGCCAATGATGTCAGCGAACAGATGTATCAATATGGGAAGAATCTTGGCCTATCCTTCCAGGTTGTCGATGACATATTGGATTTTACACAGTCAGCAGAGCAATTGGGTAAGCCAGCTGGCAGTGACCTGGCCAAAGGAAATCTTACTGCACCCGTGATTTTTGCTCTTGAAAAAGACTCGAGGCTGAGGGATATTATTGAGTCAGAGTTTTGTGAAACGGGGTCTCTTGGAGAAGCTATTGAACTTGTGATGAATAGTGGTGGGATTGAAAGGGCAAGGAGTCTTGCTAAACATAAAGCTGACGTGGCAATTCAATGTCTTCAGTGTCTTCCTCAGAGTGCTTTCCGGATGGCTCTTGAGGGGATGGTTAAGTTTAATCTTGAGCGGATTGACTGAAAATATATTTGATATTTGATATTTGAAGAGATGTATAAGGTTGTGAAATTATAGGAAATTCATATAAGTGGAAGAAAGGAAATAAAGATTCATGAGTGTTGTTGTATACTGATTATTATATTCTTTTTAAGATGATCATAATTCTAAGTTCTTGTTCGTCGCTTTCTTGGTTTTATAGAACTAATGTTGTTCCTTCCAAGTTAGATTCAAGTTCATCTAAAACACAGCGTTTCTAATTTACTCTAGAAGAAATCATAATGAAACCACAAAAATCGTTTTTGGATCATATAACTATAGCAAAGACATAAAATTTATAATTTATTCTAGAAGAAATCAGAAGTTTACGGTTTATAATGTTGTATGTGAATTCATAAATAGTCATTTTATATAATTTTATCGCTCAAATTAGACGCGATAAGGACCAACTTCAAAACCAAATAGAAACCAGTCCACATGAATAGAAAACTATAAAATCCGTTTTTGAACTATATTGAAAAGTCAAAACCAACGATATAATAAAGGGCTAAATTTTGCAATTTGCTCTTAAAGAAAGGGCAAATTTTCAATTTGCATTAAAGAAGTCATAATGGTAGAAGTTGAACTTAAAATGTTGTCCTTGAAATATTTGAATCAAGAAGAAAAGTCATATGGGCCAATTAATAATCCAGAAGTGCATAGAGCCATAGCCCATAGGCCATAGACGCCTAGACGGAATCCTACGAAAATCCTTTTGGTTGGTTCGACAAAAAGACATTGCGAGATACTCACGAAATTTAGGAACCATAATAGTTTACAAATTTAGTAACCATACACTTTGTAAATTAACCAAACAAATACAAACTATACACTTTGTAAATTAACCAAACAAATACAAACAATAGTTTGTTTGTGTTTGTTCGTTTAAGTTAGCTGAACAAATAAACGAACGAGTTTTCTTGATCATGTTGGTTCGTTTAACAAATTACCATGTTCATATTCGTTCGTTTATGTTCATGAACATGTTAAACGAACATAACCGAACAAAGATAAATAAACACAACTGAACATAAACAAACATATAATATAGTAATGTAATAAAAAAATAATTAAACAAATATAAACATAAATAAACTTAAATAAACGAGCGTAAACGAACAACATAAATGAACATTCACAAACATAAATGAACGACCGAGACCATTTTTCATGTCCGTTCGTTTAACTGAACGAACGAGAATTTGTGTTCATGTTCGTTCATTTATTAAATAAACGAACTTCTCACCGAACGGTCACGAGAGGTTCGTCGAACGTTCAAATCGTTTACAACCCTAATAATGGATTGTTTGAAGACCATGTAAAGGATGCTACAATAAATTATATTATTCAACGTATAAGAAATTGATAATTTTAAAAATAAATTTAAAATTATACTATTTAAATATGAACATGCACTAATCGTTAAGGATCCATGAACCCAAATGGAAGGGACAGAAATGATGTTCATGTAAAGAAAAGAAAAAACTAGCTCGTCTAGTTACACAACATCATCAAATACACAAACACATTGAAGATGATAAGATGATGAAGTTGTCCTATGAAAAAAAAAAAGGAAATGTGACTACCTTAAAAGAGGAACCAAATAATCTTAGAGATTTAATAATGTCTCATATAGATAAAGTAACTAAACATGTTAAAGAGATAAAAGATTTGTTCAATTTTTCAATGAGGATGAAAAAAAAATAAAAAATATAACTCGGAATATACAAGATATGAGAGATGACCAACTTGTGGATTATCAAATATTGTGCAATAAGACTAGAATAAAATACAATAAAATATGGATTGTAGGTTAATAACTTGTTTCTTTTTCCCCGAATATCGGCTTTGTAATATGTTAAAATTAATTTTAATGTCAAATAATTTTTTTTCCCAAAATATGATATGTTTTAAAATTCATGAATGATATAGAAAAAGTGGGAGGATTAATACAACTTTTAAGATAGATAGATGACAAAATAATTGATTAAAAAGATCATTTTAAAAAGTGGATCATTAGAGAAAGTTTATGAGAAAAGATCTTTTGTTTACTATTTGGAGATGCTCTTAATAGTTAAATATTGTTACACTTTTTTATATCGTATGCTTCATTTTTTCTTTTTTTTTATATACTTTTCCTTCCAGGTGTAAAGAAAGTGAAACCAAAGCCTTTTAGCAAAAAGACATTTTGGTTTTTCAAAAAACCAAATATGTAGTTCACTTTCTTCTATATATGAAAACCAAAAAACACCAATTTAAACTGAAGTACCTAAAACATTATTTTATGTATAAGTTTAATTAATTAATATATCATTATCTTTTTTACGTCAATTTGTGTTATTTTTTTAGTTAAATTACTGTCTTTTTGTAAAAACATTATCCCCATAATTAATGAAGAGACAGACCTCAAATAATAATAATAATAATAATAATAATAACAATAACTAGATAAGAAACCCCATTTTATGGGGCTTGGATTTGCTAACACCGAAGAAAACTGATGTAAGACATTAGGTTAAAGAGGGTGTTAAGGAGATTATTGACGATTCGTTTGCTCAGCACTATGCTCTCCAACTGTAAAGTACAATGAAAATAACACAATGATATTTTTGGAAAATAGTCATCATACACTTTTAGTTGAATTCCTTAATAAAAACATAACAAAAGAAAAACTATTTTAGTAGCTTATACTTTTATTACCGATCGTTATTGAATTTCTTGAGTTAGAAATGTGCATAGTTCATATAAAAAAAACCTTAAATCACTTGTACAACATGCTTTAAAAATGGTCCTACTGACACAACTTCGCATGTTATGAATCAGAAATGCAAAATACCAGAAGTCTTGTTTTCCTCTGTAGCTTCACATTTTGTCCAAATCAGATTGCCTATCAGAAGAAAAACATGAAAATACTGATACATTCTAGAGCTAAACCAAAAACAAAAGCCCTTTAATTCTTCTATTTATTTCCTTATTTCAACAAATCTCATCCAAAAGGAGCATCAGGTGTGAAGGCAACTAAATTCATTGCACCACAAGTTTTGAACCGTAACAGGACCTCAACTGCAAAATTCATAAGCAGACAATTACAAGATGAAGAAGTTGGCTTCCCAAAATCAGCAACCACATCCAATGCACCTATAACATCTAGCAACAAAACCCATAAACCTAAATCATTAACACCAACCATGACTACCACTTCCTCAGCATCACTTACAACATCCACACCATCCTCATCAAATGCATCTAAAACTTCAGCAATTGGACCAATACCATCCTCAACACCTACATCTACAACCAGAACTTCAGCACCTATATCATCGAAACCATCCTCAACACCGACATCCACTACCACATCATCAACACCTATATCTACTACCACAACCTCAAAACCTTCATCGACACTACCATCCTCAACAACTACAGTAACTACCACATCATCCTTACCTAAAGGAACTACCACATCCTCAACATATACATCTATACCAACACCTAACCCATCACCAAAACCTATCACAAAATCTACCCCATCACCAACACAACCAACCGTGAATGGATTTGTTGTGGAAAATGTAGAATGTGAAAAAAATTCCTCTGAAGATTGTGGACCAGATGGACGTTTAACTGTTCATGTTTGGAAAAAAAACGTAAGTTACCAATCATATCTTACAACGTTTTTCTATGTATAACCTTTTAGTGTACACGTACATATGAATTCAAAACTAAAACGATCACATGATAATTTGCAGGCTCATGCCACCAGACCCTTGTGCACACATTATTAGTCGGTCATTTTTACAAAAAGTAGATCCACAAGGGTACACTTGGGAAAAGTAAAACGAAGAAATGTGTGAATTATATTAGGAGGAGTTCCAGGTAGTTAACTATATGTGATAAATTGTTGTTTGGTAAACATTTACATTTAAACTTATGCTTATATTGTTACTGTTTGGAAAAATGTTGTTGGGGTGAAACAATAGACTCGTTGGTGAAGCAAGCTTGGGCAAGTAAAGCGACACAAAGTTATGGCCAATATCTCACCAACATGCGGAGCCCACAAAGAAACCCACATGCCTTTAAACCAGCTCATATTGCACAAGAAGTCTGGAACTCCTAGCAAGTAAAATGGAATACAGATGAATACAAGCTAAAATCTGAGCAGAACAAGAAAAATAGGCGTAACGGTGTGGCTGATGGAGTAGCACAACCTACCCATAACGTTGGATCCGCAAATCATTTGAAGATAGCTTTTGATTTGGTATTTTTTTAATGGTACATCAATGTTTATGTTTATGTGTATATTTGACATTTTATGGTATTTATGAAGAAGAGAAAATTAGGACGTGATCCACCCCATAGTGAATTGTTCATGTATACACATACACGAAGAATCACGATGTAGCCACATTCACAAATGAAAAAGATAGACAAATTCATGTAATATTCATTTCAGTGCAATTAAACTTTTATATTGTAGCTAGTCCATAATGTCATTCATAACTTTGATATCTTTTAACTTATATTATTTTTATTTTGTAGGCGACCTATATACAGAAAAACGGGAAGAGTTGGAAGCTGAAGATGCTGAATTTGAGGAAGACAAATTATTTTATGATGTTGATGGTGGTCATGATAAAAAAAAAAGATTTTATGGTTTAGGCTCTTTTGCAAAGACGGTTCCCAATATTAACGGTAAAACGGATGTATCTTACATTCCGGAAAAAAAAATGATGAAATGGAAGAAATGAGGGAGCTTGTTGCTAAACAAAAAGAGCAAAAATGAAGAACTTAAAGAAATAATGAAGGCCCAAGAAGAACAAAACAACGCAAGAGTCGGACAACTTGAAAAACAACTTAAAACGACAATGGATCTTACTAATGTCATTACACAACAAACAACACTAATACGTCATAAAGTGTTGATATGTTTATTGCAAAGTATTTATTTTAGATTAGCCACTTTCCATTTTCCATGTAATGAAAATTATTGTATTATTTTATGTATAATGTTATTTGATTTTTTTTGTTATTTTTGGTTTTCATATATTACTACAAAATGATTTGGATTTAATTTATAAATAAGTTATCCATCCGTCCATATGAAATCTTTGATATGGAATCCGCTATATAATATACACCACGAAAATTGCTAGGGATTCACCACCACAGAATTTGCTAGGAAGTCATCAAACGGAAGTTGTTAGGGATTCATCACCACCAAATTTGCTACGGATCCACAACCATGGAATTTGATAGCGGTTCAGTACAACGGAATTTGCTAGGGAATCACCACCACGGAATTTGCTAGAGATTCATCACCACGGAATTTTCTAGGGAATCACTACCACAGAATTTACTAGGGAATTACCACCACAGAATTTACTAGGGATTCATTCACCACCGCAGAATTTGATAGGGAATCATCACCATGGATTTTGCTAGGGATTAACTAAAATGGAATTTATGATAGAAGAACTACCACAGAAATTGTGATGGAATCCTACTACAGAATACACGACGGAATACCATCTGGCATGTTGTTGACATTAATTTTGACAGTTGAACCTGGATTTGATCTCCTAATCTATTCTCCATATGACCATAACTTTGCATAATGTTCCACAAGAGTTCCATCTATTAGTTGAAAAACATATTTCTTAGCCCTCATGCATTGACCAAGACTGACATGAATACCAAACTTCCTAATAACTTCTAATCTTAATTTTCTGACACTCATCTTTTGTCTGTGTAAGATTTGTTTAGTATAATGACTTCCTATCCATGAATATGAAACCAATGAACCTGACTTAAAGTTCCTAGCACAATTATGTTGCAAGCTCAAAGATTTAATCTGGAAGCTGTCTTTATCACTCATCCATGATGCCCATACCTGAAGGTACACTTACCCTTGCAACAATGTGCCAACAACCTTTTCCTATCATTTTTCAAAAAACATAATTGGTACTTATTGACTACGGCATAGTTGCACAACATAGTTTTTATTTGAGTTGGATCTTTAAATCTTATACCAAGTATGGGCTTTTGTTTCTTCCAGTGTGTTGACTCATTAAAAATGGCATGAACTTGACTTTTGGGTTCACTTTCATCCTCATCTTCTACATCATAGTTGGTATCCTCCTGCTCCCCTTCTTCTTGGGCACACAATTTAGTCAAGAATTCATCATTACATGTCCTATTCATAGTAACTATTTCCTAATTAAAATCCACTATCACATCCCTAATGGTACCTATGTCATCATCCCCCCACCACTAATAAAAGAATCATGGTCATCATCTCCTCATTCTGACTCAAACATATCATCTATTCCATCACCAATATGGTCCACATAAAATGGATATTTGATTATCATTTCCATATGCATCAAAGATGAAACCTTCATACTCTATTTCATTCGAGATAGGCATATGGCCACTCAAAAGGGGAGCACATGGCTCAATGTAGAATAGCTTCTTACAATCTATTGCATGAAACGTTCGAAAAAGTAATACACTTTAAGTGTGTCATACCAGAAAAATCATGATCTATGAAAGTGAATTTCATACCGTTAGTGTAAGATAAAAGGCGACAGATAAACACCCACTTAAAGTTTAGTTCCACTATCGGAAATATCGCATGGGGGTTCGAGGTTGACATAACTTCTTTTTTCCTCATACTTCACTTCGTTCTGTGGAGGAATTGTAAACCATAGTTTTGGTTCGAGGTTTTGGAGTATTGCTAATGAAAAGGATGACTAACAGTTGAACTTAAGTTCCTTTCATTTACACTCGACTCGTCTCATTTAACTTGGTAATTACGTGGAATTGCCTTCGAAGCCTTCGATTTTCTTTTTATTCGTTTTTGTAATTAACACGTAAGCAAAGTAACCGGTTCATATAGTTTCTTGGTTCAAAATGGCGTACTTAATAGGTAATTTGAAATCTGAGGGACTACTTGAAAAAAATTTTTTGAATGCAAAGCCAATATAACAACCCAAAAAAGAAACATGAAGGTATATATAAAAATACTTCAAACTTCAGTGGCAAAATTGAGAAATGGCCGTAAACCATTATCCCAAATTGAATTGAATTGGATAATCAACCTAATTTCACCCCCAAAATTTCAGGTTGCGTAAGAGAGATGAAATTATGGTTCGGCAAATGGACAGCCATTGCTAAAGAATCAGTCGATCGAGCTGCCATTTTCGCCAAATTCCTCTGTTTGCTTCACGTCACCAATACTTACATATTCTCCCCTACCCTCGTAATGCTTTGATTTCCATCTCTACACTATGTGTATGTATATACGTCGTCGTGATGGTGGTGGAGTTTTTGTTTCAGGTTTATGGCCCAAGTATGCTGCCGACGTTGAATTTGACTGGCGACGTGATATTATCGGAATACATTTCACATAGGCTAGGGAAGGTAGGTCCGGGTGACGTTGTGTTGATACAATCACCTGAAAACCCTAGAAAAACTATTACAAAACGCATTGTGGCCATGGAAGGGGAAGTTGTTTCGTTCTTAGTTGATCCTAGCCGCAGCGAAAAATCTCGTACTGTAGTGGTAAGTGGTAACACTCTTACAATCCGTTTCTCGTTTTTTCTTCCAAAGATTTGGTAGAATTTATTACATTTATCATTGCATCAATTAGGAACTTATCATTTGATTTTGGTGATGAATTCAAGAACTTAGATCGAAATTTAAGTCGTGATTGTAATATGAACTTATAGGTGCCGAAGGGACATGTATGGATTCAAGGGGATAACATTTATGCATCCAAAGATTCTCGGAACTTTGGTCCAATTCCTTATGGCCTAATTCAGGGCAAAGTTTTGTGTAGAGTGAGTAATTTCATCACTGTTTGGTTTCCTGGTAGATAATGGGTCATTGTTATATCTAAATCGTGCACTTGTGTATGCTGACTGTAGGTGTGGCCAGTAGACTGTTTTGGATCGTTATGACATGAAAATCAGCTTGAAGAATCAGTGCACCATATTGATGATGTTTGTTTGTTTCATAAGTTTTCTTAATGTATCATATTAACAACATTTCAATAAGACGTATTCCCTACAATGACCATATTTTGAAGCAGCATACTAGCATGTAAGCACAAAACCATATTTTTCTGAACTTATACAAAATAACCAAAACTATGGCGAATTTGAGCTTGCGAACTTTTCTGACAACTTTCGTGGATACACTTAATGTTTCAAGAGATTAATTAAGATAGATTCAATGTTCTCTGCCAAATAAAGGTTGCTAAGGATGCACCGTTTAACGAAGCACAAGGATTTATTATTGATAAAGAGACCTCCTTTAAATTGTTGGTCATTCATTATGAATTTATGATCTCCACACATCAACATAAAGTATCTCATTCTCAAGTTGTTCGGCGAGCTTATGGATATGTGCAAGTTATATCAACCAAAAGTAGGCTACTTTGCCTTGTTATATCATCTATGTTGACTAAGAGCTATAGCTTCAATTCTTGTTCCAATTACTTATTTTGTGCTTAAGATGAAGACTAATATAGAAGAATACAAACATCTAGCTTATAATAATCTGCAAGCGAGAATGATGAAAAAGAAAAAATCATTAATGTTGAAAAGAATGCCAACTAATAACATTAAAGAATAATCCATTATTTGCTACAAAAGAAGGCCAACATGACATGCTCTAAACAACAAGAACAACTTTTTTTCTTTTTTCTTTTTTTTTTTTTTTTTTTTTTTGCTAGTGTGTTCATGTCTCTCGTTCAATGAGATCATATTAACCAGCTTTAAATTTCAACAACAACCGATTCTATCGAAGGCTTGTGTTATTCTTCAGAAAAGTTAGGCTATGGTATTAGTTATAGTCTAGGCACATATGTATGGATTGTTAATCAGTTTCGATTGATTTCTGATATGGAAGTTTTGTGAACTTTGGGTATGTTGCTTTGGAATTTGGATAGAATAGAGGCTTTGCATAATCGAGAAACTTTGCATATTAGGTATATACAAATACTGAAATCGACACAAATTACATGAACCATGACCAAGTCACAAACCATATTACACACAAAAGCCATGAGAAAAAGTACACAATTATTCTGGAATTAAGACATCAGTAGTTATAGCTAACATAATCAGTCAAGGGAGATGCTATATCTTATGGAGAATTAAGTGAGCACCATGTCGCGGTTGAAGTGTAACAACATACGATGGTGAGTGAGTGTAAGAAGGCGATAGATCAAACGAGAAATGTTGTAGGATTGTTGATATAGCCAACTTAGCTTCCATTAAAGCAAAGTTATTCCCAATGCAAATCCGAGGACCCCAACTAAATGGGAAGAAAGCAAGCTTGTTCTTTGTCGCCTTTGCAATTCCCTCTGAAAATCTCTCGGGATTGAACTCCTTGGCGTCTTCTCCCCAAATTTCACGATCATGGTGTACAAATATGACTGGCAACAAGAACTGCACTCCAGCTGGTACAATTAGGTCTCCTAGTTTGGTCTCTTCATATGTAATCCGTGTGAATATGGTTGCGGGTGAGTATAGCCTAAGAACCTCGTATAGAATCATTGTTACCTGAAAATTTTAAAACTTTTATCAAACAATAAAAATAGTACTCATTTGTACTTTATGTACTTGAGTCTCCAACATATATAGAGTTAGACGAGACCGTGTCTAGCTGATCGATGTGGGATGTGGCTAGGACTGACAGTTAACAATTAACAATTTGCATTTTGTTAAATTGTACTTACAACTTTGAGGCGACTCAACCCTTCGTAATTCGGTTTATTGTGTCCGAAAACTTTGCGAACTTCCTCCCGTGCTCTTGTTTGCCATGTCGGGTGTTGGCTCAACAAGATCATGGTCCAAACCAATAGATTTGAAGAACTCTCTTGCCCAGCGAAATAAAACGATTTACACTCTTCAATCGCCTCTTCAACACTCATCCCCATATCCCCAGTTGCTCTAGCTGTTGATTTCAACAACAATGATAGTAAATCTTCATGATCATTATCACTTTTCCCCGATACCATCGCAAGCTCCTTTTGCTCCATGACCTTGTTCAGTATGGATCGCAACTCATTGTCGATTTCCTTCATTCGCTTGTTTGTTTTGGTAGGTAAAAACCTACAAGTTTTATGGTAAGTTTTACTATAATTAAATATATTCGTGATAAAAAAACGAAAACGAGAATATATATAGAAACTTGTGTTTAATTTACCTTCGTCCTGGGAGGTATACTGACTGTAGAACTTCACGTGTGAGCACGGCTTGTTCTTTTTGGAGCCGATATATCCTTCTACCTTGTTCGTAGCTACTCCCAAACGCGTTTCGAGAGATGACATCACTTGCAAAATCATCGATATAAGGTTGTACATCTAATTCACATGAACCCTTCTCAGAAACCAACTTTGACCATTCGGTCACCAATATGTCGAAACAACTTGTGTACATGGCTGATGACATATGCTATAATATGATATGAAAAGATTTAAAACTACATTAGCTAACGTTCATGATTTATTTAGTTGTATATCTCAATGAAAATATTCATTGAAAATTAAATCCATACCTTCAACTTGTCTTGTGTAAGAGCTGGTGCTAGAATCTTGCGATGTTTGTCCCATTTTTGGTCCTCATAGCTGGTAATTCCTGAAACGAGGAACCTTACCAATGGGTTTGGAGTTGGTTTCTTGTAAACCTTATTGTTGACTAAAACCTCTTTGATTAGGTCAGGATCCATGATGTTGATCCTAGCAGTTGGTCCCATCCATGCAAATGAATTTTTACCTGCAGTTTTTATATCATTATTTACCGGTAATTACAAGTCAAGGTAAAAAATTGCACGATTAGTACGGAATATATCACAATGGATACACAATAGATCGGTTAGAATTTGGGTATGGCAATATGTCAACTTAATTGAACTAACAAACTAAAGGATCGAAAAAGTTTACTTAATATCAAATACCGGTCAATTTTTTTACAAGCCTTTATGCCATGTTTCTAATATATGTCATTAGACACTAATTTATAAAATAATTATATATATTAATTACCCATATATGCCGTTTGACATTTTTACAAAAAAAAAAAAAAAAGGAAAAAAATAGCCAACCTAAAACAGTTTGGTTGGATCGGTTTTGCACGTTGAGTAGAAATTTGAAATAAAGTGCAAGAATGAAAAGGACATTTTGGAGATAAAAAAAATAAAGGTAATGTTAATGAATATAAACAGAGAATGCGGATTAACCAACAACATTCAACAGTCAATATATTTGCTCGCCGTTAAAAAAAAAAATATTTACCAAGTGACTTATTTTGCCTTTATTGTCAACAGCCTATATTTATTAAATGTTTGTTTTGCTTTTATACTTTAGAAATTTAGAATCGTTCATTTAATAATTTTTTTAATAGTAATATTTACAGCTATTTTTTAGTAATTAGATATGTGGGCTATGATGTGTAATAATATATTTATTTATTTAGATTTAGATCTGGATGTTATTTGAAATATGTTGTATTGAAATATGAAGTGTGTTTATTATAAAAACGACAAATTAACTTAGATGACTTTATAAAACATTTTAGATAAAGGCAAATAAATAAACTTAGAAAAACTTTTGAAATTGGTTAAACAGTGAAGAATATTTTTGATGATATATTGTATTTTAATTTAAAATTTAAAATGCATGTAGGTCAACCATTGCGGATACTTTAAATATATTTATGTTTTGAACTATAAACAATATAATTAATTAGTCCAACAAATTTAATTTATCACATTAAAAAATCTTTTACTAAAATAAAATAAAATTAAGTAAGATAACAATAAAAATAAAAAATAAAAAATTAATTAAAGTTTTGCAAGTTTATAATATATCACTTGTTTAATTATAGAATAAAAAAACACCCTATATGAATGGCAAAAAATGCCTACAACCGATTGGAAAAATCAAACCCAAAACTTTTGGGACTGATTTTAGGCCGGTTAAGTGGATATGGGAATGAGTATGGGATCATTTCTGAAAACTTCTGTAGGTTTGGTATGGTTAAAGTATTAGGGTTAAACCCAACCCTATATCCGGTACCATTCACCTGTCCTCAAAACATTTTTTTTATTATACTTGTAGTTTTGTTATTAATATACATGATTTCAAAATCAAATTACAATATTATATGTGATGTTATAAAAACAGTTTATTATGTAATTGCTACTTACGAAAATGAAAGTTATTGATAGCGTTTTTAATATTATGTTATGATCTTGTGTAGTTTATCATGAAATTCGGATATTATATGTTAAAATTGGAATTATGAAAAAAAATAAAAATCATTTTCAGATCGATTGTGATTATGTAATAAAATTTCCAACCAGTAATTTTAATCTAACTAGATCATAGATGAAATAACGATGATCCTTGCGAGTATACTTACAAACCGGATTAGTATCTACAAACCATGTATCTGGTGGGACGAAACCATGTTTGGGATATATTTTTACAATAGAATATGAGGCATGGATCACCAACATTGTCATCATCAATATCAAATACAATTTAAATTAATTAATTAATACTTTTAATAACGGTTTTAAAATTTTCAAACCACCAAAATTTACTAAAATTAATTTGATCCGTCATTAAATTTAAGCAAAGCAAATTTTCATAAGACGATGGATTCATTCTATAAGTAATTTAATATTCAAAACCCTAGCTACTAGCTAGTACCAGCCTAGCCTACTAGGACACTATAATAAAAAGAAAACACTCACCGTAGGTTTGGATGATGTGGTGGTGGAACGGAAGAATGATGGGGAGGAAGTCGTCGGAAAAGCTTATGGGTTTGGAATTCACAGCGGCTTGTCGAGCCATGGTGGCCATCTGGTTCATGTCTCCATGCAACAATCTGTAGTGCGGGCCATTGAGACCTTGTTTCCTCAAACATTTTTCGATGGCTTTGGGTCTCAGCCAGACCCACTGGACCACCGTCCACAACCACCATGCTCCGCCGATCACTGCCACTGACGCCAACAATAACAACATGGTGATGGTGATGGTGGTAGAAGTTAGTTAATGTGTTTCTTTTTGGGAGGTAACAAATTTATAAGCATAAAAAGTGGGTATCCTTAAAGGGAGCTACAATGCGAGTACGTACGCCACCGTTGGTTTGTCATTAATAAATTAACCAAGTTTCGAACAAAGAGTTGGGCCACTTTGATTTAATATAAACATGTTTTTTTATAGATTCAGAGCCTTTAATTTCTTTTACATTTTTTTTAAAAACAACAATATTTCAATTTTCATTATTTTACTATGTTTATTTCTAAAAAAGCCATTACGCCGACATTTTGGTTTTTGGATGGGTAGGAGGGAAGCACGCGTGTGTGCATCTTACTTGGGTCTCTGCTCTCGTCGGTTTGAGGAGCGGAGGTTTCATAGCAGGGCATGCCGCTTTGAAAGCTGTTACGTGCAAAATGGCAAAACACGAGAATGCATGTATAGAAAATCAACATGTGTTTGTACAATTTGCATTTGATAAATTTGATTTTCTCGCACCAGAGGCGGTATAGCTCCTCAACAGAGTCCAACGGTTCATGCACTTTAATGTCATATCTCCTAAATCCACAAATGTTGTTTTCAAAAGAATTAGTTTTGCCATCCAGAAAGGCTAGCGACGTAGCTTGTTGCCCGTTGCCTTCCATCGATAGGTATTTAACTATATACCCATGTAACGAAGAATATTTAATACAAGAATATTTAATACGTAGAATTATGATTCAATGCAATAATTAATATATAATTATTATCGGTTCAAAGAAACTTAGAATATATTATGTTTTACTTTTACATGTCATAAAACATACACTTATACCAAACAGACGAAAATTAAATTGTATTATTATTTTAAAAAACTATATTATTAAAAATAAATAATATGAAAATACAGTTATCACTCACATGATAGTAAAACCCAACCACAATAATTTTAGATTATGTTTTACATGACATAAAACATACATTATATAACTTAGTTTTTAAGAACTTCAAGTTCCTAATAGATATATACAAGAATAGACGAGAGGAAAGAATAGCTAAGCTTTTTAAGTTTTAGAAAACTAGAATAAAGAAAATAAAGAAAAAAGAGTGGTTTAAGATGGTTTGATAGTTTTTATTAGATGCTGAAATGTATCGAAGCATATAGGTTGCTTAGGAATTTGGGCCTTTTGTTAACAACATTATATAATGAACAAAGTTATATTATTTATTATCTTCAAGAACATATATTAATTATATGTTTATTCTTTTTTAATTAAAGTATTACACTAATTATAAATGGATTATAGTACATGTTTTGCTTAAAGTTTAGGTCATCCTTTTAAAGTTTATGTATTTCTGTTAGGAAGTCCGCGGTGTAGTTTACAGTCAAACTCGTAAACCGCATTACATATGCGATTTAATATTTTTAGAAATTGCACCGCAAAAGTTCTAAACCATATTATGTAGTGCGGTACGGACGATTTTCATACGGTTTATGAACATATACTATCTTTCAAATATAAATGCCATGAAGTTATTTTCAAGTTCAAATATATAAATATATTGACGGTAAATGATTTTTCACCATACATCTTTCAAAGACTAACCATAATTACGATGATATTGTAATAAAACGTCATCTTTTAAGGAAAAATAAAAAAGAACGACATTATCAATCATACATTATATTATATTTAGTTGGTGATTATTGAAAGAAAATATTTAAAAAAGGTTGCATGGACATTGCACATACTAACTTCACAATAACTATTAAGCATAGTTTTAAAGTTATTGTTAAAAAGTGATAAATCAGATTTTCCCAACATCAACGTTTCTTACATCATTTAAGGACAAAGAAACATAAGGTCTTCATGATATTTACAAATCAAACCTCACTACAAAACCTAATCTACTCCCAGAACTATACACTCAATCTATTCTACAAGGATTTTCAATAATCGATCAAGAACATAAGGATTATACAATGAAGAAGATAAACTATTGTGAAACCCTAAACGAAATAAAGTGAAAACGAGAGAGAGAGAGAGAGAGAGAGAGAGAGAGAGAGAGAGAGAGAGAGAGAGAGAGAGAGAGAGAGAGAGAGAGAGAGAGAGAGAGCTTTGAGTGTGTATGTGTTGAGAATATCGAACAAATGAGCAATCCACCAATATATATCCCGGGTCTTGGATATAACCCACGAACAAGGATTCACGCCTCACCTTCAATTTGCAAGAAACGAGTTGCAACCTACAACAATTCCATAATAGCATAAATAACCCCTTTGAACAAAATTGTTTCATAAATGAGAGCAAACCAAGAACTGCAACATTGACACAAATTACCCAAATACAAAATAAATAATAAATATTTGATTGAATGTAATAAATACTTAGTATTTTGAACATCCCCCCTCAACTGAAATATTTGCTTTTCCCTTTTAAAAACATCAACAAGCCCCATTTTATTTGATAAAAAATGATGTTGTTTAAAACTTAAGGATTTAGTTAGAATATCAACATTTTGACCAGAAGAACTGATCTTAACCATTATTAAAACACCATTTAAAATTTTTTTCCCTATCAAAATGAAGATCTATCTCAAAATTTTTAGTATGCTCATGAAAAATAGGATTTAAAGCCAATTTAATTGTAGAGTCATTATCACACCAAACAGATACAAGAGTAAGACCTTTATTCCTAACTCAAACAAAATCTCCAATATGCAAATTATTTCACAAGTGATAGAGCCAACGGCTCTATACTCAGATTCAGTAGAAGATCTAGAAACAGTAGACTGCTTCTTACTCTTTCAAGAAACCAAAGAGTTATTATGTAACATCCTGATGATGAGGTATTTTTAAATTTTATCCTATGTATGAAGGAATATTGCATTTTGACCCTTGGGCTTGAAAATTTTTGCAAGAATGGACCATAGTGGCATTTTCGTGATTTTAGCCAAAGGCCTAGTACGAACCTTATTATGCTAAGCATACACCGCGTACGCAGAGCGTACGTGAAGAAAGCTCAAACCCTAATTTTTAGGGTTTGGTCCATATATAAGCATCATTATCACCTTATTTCTCATTCCCTCAACAGCCTCCATCTGAGAAAACGTCCCTCTAGCAAACCTTAAGCAAGAAGAGTGCATTTTGAGCTTATTTGTGTGTTTTGGTGGTGTTCTTAAACAAAAAGAATTTGGTGCAAGGAGCTTGGGAGAAGCTTGGATCTGGGATTCTCCACTTGTTAGCAACCTCCAGGAGGTCAAAAGCTCCTTAATTGATCATCTTATCTTATATATCTAGCCATTTCTTCATTTAGGTCATTTTTTTGTCCCAAATATGGTAATTCTTGAGCATGACATGCTCTTAATCGAGTGATTCGTCCTTTCAGACCTAATGAGGGGTCCTGAGTCATAAAAATGTGGTCTTGATGCTTAGTTTTTCCCCAGGCATGCTCTAGAAGATCTTAAGGTGTTAATAAGTTAGGATTTTGTGTATTAAGCACTTATTGGGAATGCAAAGTCATAAAGTTGGAAACTTTATGACTCTTAGTGGTATTTTAGCCTTGGATATGCATTTGGAAGTATTAAGTTGAAGTAATAAGCTCTTAATAGGTTAAGAAGGAAAACCGATGCGTACGTTGGGCGTACCAAATGGTACGATGCACGTACGCAAATTTGGCCCCGACATCTCGGACTACTAGTATGCCCCACATACATCTGGAGTACGCCCCGCGTACAAGCCCTGAGTTGACTTGGCTGGGTTGACTCGGTTGGGTTGACTCAGTTGAGTTGTTGCTTTTGTCCAGTTTTGACCAAGGATATTTTGGGAAAAATATTATTAATTTAATTGGAAATGTTCTGATATTTAGGAGTCAGGTTGAGTCGGTTATCAGAGCAGGGATTTATTTAGACTACATTCATACTGTGAGGTGAGTCTTCCTTACTGTACCCGTGGGTCGAAGGCACCAATGTCGGCCCACTAGATTATTTATCATGTTTAGGATAATACTATGCTATTATATGGCTTATTAGCAGATCTGTATGATTATCTGTATTTTTTTGGTTCTCTGTTTATGTTTATATGTTACATATGTCGACATATTGGGTTGGGTTGAGGTTGTACTGCTTTTTGTTGTAGCCAACAAACCCGCGAGCATTCCTGATATGAGTTGAGGGCCCGAATGGCTTGCCAGACTCATATTGAGGGCTCAGGAGCATTCCAGATATGAGTTGAGGGACCAAATGGCATGCCAGACTCACACTGAGGTCTCAAGGGTATTCCAGTCTTTCTAGTTGTGGACCCAATATATGATGTTATATGTGTGTGTATGGTGGTACTTTGGGGGAACTCACTAAGCTTTGGCTTACAGTTTTTAGTTTATGCTTTCATGTACTTCAGAGGATCGTGGGAAGGCAAAGGCGTGATCGTACACAACTTCCTGTTTTGTCACTGGATCTTGGGGAAAACTCTGAATTGGAAATAATACTTTTGAAATAATGAATATTTTTGTAAACAATGATGATGAATGGTTGATTTTGAAAATTTTAAATTTATTGTGATTTTTGAGTGTTACAAGTTGGTATCAGAGCCTTGGTTTGAGAGAATTGGATGAGCATTTGTGTGAATCCAGACTCAAACTAGGGAACTGCAAAAGTGTTTTTAAACTGATTTTCAAAAATTGTTTTCAAAAGTAAACAAGGAGGGATGCGATGTGTACTATCAGCCGGAGCAAGAAAGTATACCCTAAATTAGCCACACTGTTATTTGTTATTATGTTTATGATAGAACAACATGCTAGTGATAGGCTAGGGATCTTCAGGTATTGCATGATAGAATTGCCTAATAATTGATGCCCTATAGCCTAGTGTTTCTTTCTTGTACAAAATTGGCATCATTACTGTAGTTGCTTAGTGTATGCATCATAGTTGTACATAACTAAGATTTTATAGCCTGAGAATGTTTGGTTTAGCCTTATTTCATGTTCTTGTTTGATGAAGGGCTTAGGGTAGAATCAGGTATTCGA